TGAACATACAGTGCAGTGTTGGTTCAAGAAGTTTTGCAAAGGAGATGACAGCCTTGAAGATAAGGAGCATAGTGGCAGGCCATCGGAAGTTGGCAGTCACCAGTTGAGAGCAGTCATCAAAGCTGATCCTCTTACAATTATGTGAGACGGTGTCAAAGAAGTCAGTGTTGACCATTCTACAGTTGTTCAGCATTTGAAGCAAATTGGAAAGTGAAAAATCTTGATAAGTGGGTGCCTCATGAACTGAGTGAATATTTTTTAACCATCATTTTGAAGCGTCATCTCTTATTCTTATTCGCAACAACAAACCATTTCTTGATCAGATTGTGACATGCAATGAAAAGTGGATTTTATATGACAGCTGCCAACAACCAGCTCAATGGCTGGACCGAGAAGCTCTGAAGCGCTTCCCAAACCAAACTTGCACCAGGACAAAAAAAAAAAAAAAACAGATCATGTTCACTATTTGATGGTCTGCTGACAATCTGATCCACCACAGCTTTCTGAATCCTGGCAAAACCATTACATCTGAGAAGTATCCTCAGCAAATCAATGAGATGCACCAAAAACTGCAATGCCTACAGCCAGCATTGGTCAACAGAAGGGGCCCAATTCTTTTCCACAGCAACACTTGATTGGTTGTACAACCTATGCTTCAAAAGTTGCATAAATTGGGCTACAAAGTTCTGCTTCGTCCACCATATTCACCTGACCTCTCACCAACCAACTACCACTTCTTCAAGTATCTTGTCAACTTTTTGCAGGGAAAACACAAAACACTTCCACAGCCAGTAGGATGCATAAAATGCTTTCCAAGAAATCACTGAATTCCAAAGCATAGATTTTGATGCTACAGGAATAAATAAACTTATATCTCATTGGCAAAAAATGTGTTGATTGTAATGGTTCCTATTTTGATTAATAAAGATGTGCTTGGGCCTAGTTATATGATTTAAAGTTCACCAAAACCAAAATTACTTTTGCACTGACTTAATACCATGGACTCTACACTGCTTTGGGCAGTTTGACCATTTTAATGATATTGATTCTTCCTATCCATGTGCCTAGAATGTTTTTCATTTGTTTGTGTCATCTCTAATTTCTTCTAGCAGTGTTTTGTCGTTCTTGTTGTAGAGATTTTTCACTTCTCTGGTTAGCTGTATTCCTAGGTATGTTACTTGTTGTGTGTGGCCATTATGAATGGAACTGCATTCCTGATTTGGTTCTCAGCTTGTATGTTGTTAGTGTGTAGGAATGCTACTGGTTTTTAATGTTGATTTGGGATTCTAAAACTGCTAAAGTTGTTTATCAGATCAAGCAACTTTTTGGACAGAGACTATGGGGTTTTCTAGATATAGAATCATGTCATCTGCAAATAGGGATAGTCTGACTTTCTCTCTTCCTGTTTGGATGTCTGTTTCATCCTCCTGCCTGATTGCTCTGACCAGGACTCCCAATACTGTGTTGAAATAGAGTGGTGAAAGAGGGTATCCTTTTCTTGTGCTGGCTTTCTTTTTATACTGGCTCCACAAAGCTATATATTCTTTAGTTAAGAGTAGTGCCTCTCCAATTTTATTTCCCTAGCACTAAGTACAATGTCTAGCTCAGCGAAAGAAGAAAAGAAAGAAGAAAGAGAAAGAGGAAGGGAAGAACATAGGGAAGTAGATTTAAATATGTGTTTAAGTAGTTCTTCAGGATTTTCTTCCAAGTAACATATTTTCTGGCTTCCAGTACATGTGTATTTAAGTCCTTCACACGTCTCATCTACAAGTCCCTTTAAAACAAAGAAAATACGTTTGGTTAAGAGAAGGCTGGAAAATGAGAGAGGGGGTTTTACTGGACAAAAATATAGAGAGACTTATATAACAATTATTATCCAATATTAATATCTGATGGCAATACACGATTAATTGAGAAGTAGTGTGAAGTGACATAATCCCAAACAGACATGGGAGAATGTTCAGGGGGAAATCAAAGCTGTTTTGTTTTTTAATGGAATCTGAGTTTTGAGAAAGAGGACATGTAAAGGAAGATGTATGTATGCATTGTGTGAAAGATTTGTCCTGTTTTAATTGTTAACACAAATTTATATACTCATATATTGAGGTGAGTCTATAATATATTCTAATTAAAATATTTAATAAGTTAAGTTTATGCCCAGAGTCTTAGTTTTGGTATTAGAGGCAAAGAAGCAGAGTTAGAAGGAAAAAGGAGAATGAATTATGTATGCTATATTTGAGAGCCTTTGGAAATTCCAAATGCTGGTAGAGTATGCAGTTGGCACGCTGTATCAATGGGGTTTTTGTTTGCAGATTTAGTCAACCACAGATGAAAAAAAATGTGTTTTTAAAATTGTGAAATAACAACACAACAATAAAAATACGAACTTTAAAACAGTGCAGTATACCAACTATTTGCATGGCATTTACATTGTATTAGCTATTATAAGTAATCTAGAGTTGATTTAAAATATACAGGAGGATGTGCACAGGTTATATGCAAATACTATGCCATTTTATATAAGAGATTTAAACATCAGTGGATTTAAACTAATCCCGCATGAATACCAAAGAACCACCGTGTTAAGAACATGGCGCTGAAGCTCATCAAAAGCCCTTGGTGTGGGATTCAGACATAAGACACTGCATAAAAGCTCAACACACATGCCCTATAGTCAGTGCCTGTGATTCTCTGGAATCAAACTCCAGTCTGTAAAAACAGAAACCATGATGTTACAGGCTATTCTTGGCATGGGAAATGAAACCTGAGAGGTAATACTACTTCCATGGGGCCCCAGACCCCTGAGCTAGGAAATGTCTGTCATTATTTGGGAAACAAGAACCCTCTGCCTTTCTCCCCTCTGGCTCATCTGAAGACAGATGAGTCCTTTGCCATAATATGAAGTCTTAATTTAGCATTGCCATATTCTGGTTCCAGATCTTTCCTGTCTGGCTGAATATGAAGACTGCATTTTGTCTCTTGTCTTTCTTGGCATCTCTTTCCTATGCAAACTTCATGGACACCAGAAGGACTACAAGTTGGAGAATCATGGAGGCTCCATTGAGAGAGGATGTTTTACTAGAACAAAGATATATAGAGATATATACAAGAATTAGATGCAATAATTTCTATCTCTGTAATTATTCACACTTAGAAATTCTCAGCAGCTTCTCCAGAGACTTCCCTATCTAAACTACAAAGGTAGTCTTTGGGAAAAGTGTTTTCATCCACAAAAGGCAAGCTATGCATGAGTTATTCCTGCACTGGGCAACAAGAAGTAGATAGTTACCTCTGCCTTCAAATACCCCTTCATCTGACTAGGACCTGAGACTCTCTCACATCTACTTGCAAGCCCAGATTGAGCACTTCTCTTCTTTCCTTCCTTTAGTTGCTTCTACTATGAGGTATAGATAGATTTTACATCCAGTCACTGTTGAAGACTTTCATGAACTCATCACTCATCCTTAAGTCATTTCACACTGAGAACTGGGACCCTCCCTCTTTCCTGTTTCTTTAACATTTGTCAGAATCTCCCCAACCCTCTAACACCTTTTTTTCTCAGCAGGGGGCAGTAAAATTCCATTTATTTTTTCTGTTCTCAGCACTTAACTATTAAGACCAGATTTCATAGTAAAGGCTAAAGCCAAATCTCATTAATGATTTTAATGGTTACTTTTGTCTTAAAGGAGCCCCTACAGGACAAGAGTATTTCAGGGTTTGGTGAGTCAAAACCATTATATTTCTTTGTGACACGTGGCAGAGGAAGAATAAACAGGGGCCTACATGTGTTACATGTAAAATACGTACAGACTGAAGACATGGTTCTCAAATAGTAGAGATATAATTGTAAAAACCCAAACCCCATGTCAGCATGGTGTGAACAAAAATTTCAGGGAATACTGACTATGGATCTGAATGAACTATGGCAAAGGAAGTGGACAAAGCTGGAGACATTCTGGGATTAATCTTTGTGTCTCAACCAATACTAAAGGCTTTTCTGTGAAGAGGAAATGAGGAAAAGGGAGGGGGAAGAATGACACTTGGTTTAGACATTGTTTACCGCCGCAGCACCCAAACAATATTTAGCAATATTACCAAAGCATGTATTATTTTGTATTTTCTGTTCTGTCATGATTGATAGTGCAATTAAAAGGAAGATGGACTAAAAATCCCAGGCAAAGGCCAAGTTGATGAAGCTGATAAAGCCTGAACACCAAGTCAGTGAAAAATGAGACTGAGAAAGCTATTATCACACAATAATAACACCATACTTTCTGAGAACTGAATGAATTCTAGTTACTTCTCTAAGCCCTTTACATGTGTTTATACACATAGGTTGCCCCATTTAATGCTCACAAGTTCTCCTGCTCCTTGTCTGATCAAGGCATGCTATTCACTGGTTTCCTCTTCTGCATGTTCTCCTCGGGCTTGCAAAGTTCATTCCTGTTCATCCTTCAGAACTCAACTCAAATGCCACTTCCTTTCCCAACCTTTTTAATTAGGTAAAATCCTGCTATGATAGGCATGCAAAGCTATGTAGTTTTTATGTTCATAGATTATAAATAACACTTGCACTGGAATGTTTTGTAAGAATATTAAAACTTGAGTTAAGATAAGCAAAGCACCAAGCCCACTTTGGATGAGGGAGGTGAACAAAAATATTAGTCATTTGATGGGTTAAAAGGATATAGACCGAACTGCTTCAACAGGATGGCTGTGGGACTCAGGAAGCTGGCAGGGGCTGTGTCATACCCACACGATGGCTTCATCAAGAGCCCATCCTGCTTCTCCACTACTCGAGACATCCTCTCTAGTCCTGACTGTGCCATGACTATCGGGCTCCTCTGCCATGTGGCCTTTTATTTTCCGGGGACAGGTAAGTCATCGGCACAGTTCATTCCAAAATCAAGAAAGAACACTTCTTCTTTGTTGGGTTTGCGCCTGGCTCAGCATCTAAGTTCATCGTGAACTCTGTTGCCAATTTTTGTCTCTTCCCGTAGGCCTCATGGAAGCTGACATCTACCAGACCCCAAGACACTGTGTTATAGGGACAGGAAAGAAGATCACTCTGGAATGTTCTCAAACCATGGGCCATGACAGAATGTACTGGTATCGACAGATCCAGGAACGGAACTAAAACTCATCCATCATTCCCATGGAGTTAATTCCACAGAGGAGGGAGATCTTTCCTCTGAGTCAACAGTCTCCAGAACAAGGAAAGAGAATTTTCTCCCGACCCTGGAGTCTGCCAGCCCTTCACCTACCTCTCAGTACCTCTGTGCCAGCAGTGAATACACAGTGCTTCATGGACACCTACATTCTGCACAGAAAGGCTCCCCTCCAAGATGAGGACATCTTGCCTTCAGAAACCTCATCTTAAACTACAGAAACCCCTTCAAATCTTCCCAGACTCCTCAGCATTAAGGGACCACCAGTGTGCTTGAAGTAATAGTGTAGACTAAAGACTATCTCTGGCTCAGTCTCTACCAAGCTGAGAAATGATCGAGCCCCACAATCATCATGGCTGACTTCTTTCTTGCATCTAGCTTCTGCTGTTCAATTGAGCTTGCACGAATTTTATCCTTCAAGATAAATGTGATAATATTTGACAGTTGCCTTATGACTGGCTGAAGAAAGTCTTTGTCAGCTAAGAAACAGGAAAAGGATCCTCTGACTTTCTACACAGGCTGTCTTTATCTACAGGAGTTTTTGTAGTTTAAGATGAGGTTTCTGAAGGCAAGATGTCCTCATCTTAGAGGTGACCTGGTTCATGGTTCCTTTCTCATGTTAAACTAGTTCCTTCATACACAGCCTCACAAAGTCCCTGCCCTCTCCTGACCCCAGTCCTTGATCGCAAGTCACACTTGATGACTTCAGTTCCTCAATCTATGACTTTGAACTTGGAATAAATTTTTGCTTTCACTTGGAATAGGTGATTAATGATTATTTTCACTAATCTCCCTCTAAATAAATGTAATTTTAGCTAACTCTAATGAGGCAGAAGGAAGAGAAAAGGCTCCAACCTTGGCAAAGAATCATCTTTGACAATGTCCCTGGATTCAGCCCCAAATCTCTTTGGAGACTACTCTTGCCATTGGGAGACTACTCCACAGATAGATGATTCTCTGTCTTAGGTATGCTGAATCTCAGGGAAATGTTCTCTCTCCACATGAGATTAGACCTGGGACCTTGAATAGCTTCATTTTTCACAAAAGCATAGACTGCTATGGGGCCCTAGGTCTCCTGAGAATTGGGTGGGTGCTGAGCTCAGATATGAAACCTCTGTTTTGAGGTTACCAAAAAGTAAAGTCACAGAGTCTCTGTCCTGGTTTTACCTCCTTCAAAAGTAGCTTTACTATGTTGGAAAAGAATCTAGAGAACATAATACATATTTTATTGTAAAAGTCTGCTTATTCATTCTTCTTTTCTCTTTGTATTCTATAATACTAGCCATTCTTCACTCTTCTTTGTGGGCTCTTTCTATTCTCATTTTCTTTATTTTGTCCTTATTTCTGGACTTCTTACTCTTTGCCTCTTAACCTACATGTACATCTTAGACAATATCATCAACTCTATTACTTGAAGTATATGTCGCATTAGTTTCAAGTTAGCTGCCTACTAGGTATTTCTACCTCTGCATTTCATAGGCTACTCAACTCAATTTGTCCCCAGCAGAGTCCATCATCCTCCCAATACCATGTCCTCTTTTGGAGACACCATTGTCTCGGGAGGCTCATCTCCAGTAGTCAGATGTCCTTAGCAAACACCTAAAGGATTAAAAACTCCTCCTTACAGAACTCTTAGCCTCATACCTTACCCTTCTGGCCTTTCTTCCAAAAGTGATGTGCACCATAGAGTTGGCCCTCTGTATTCAGGAGTTCTACATCCCTGGATTCAACCAGCCACAGACCAAAAACGTTTTTTTCAAAAATTATGTCTATACTGAACACATGCAGACATTTTCCTTATTATTCTAACAAATACAGTATGGCAACTATTTACATAGCATTATATTATATTTGGTACTATTATTTACAGGTGACTTAAAGTATATGCATAGATTACATGCAAATACTATATACCATTTTTCATCAGGGACTTGGGCATTTGTGGATTTCGTTATCTTTGGAAGGTCCTAGAACCAATTCCCCAAGATACTGAGGGATAACTGTAGACAAATGTGATTATGCTACTGGATCCCCTCACAATTTCTCCATGTTTCTCCTCCATATTCAAGATAAAATTTAAATTTCTTCCCCTTGTTTAATGGTACTTTGTGATCTGGACTCCAGAAATTAGCTTATCTTGAACACCTTATCCTAGCTGTTTTTCATCCTGGGAGTACTGAACTTCTGACCATTTTCTATAGCCCATGTTCTCTTACCCATCTGAGACCCTGTACCTGCTGTTACTCTATTTACGAAGTCTGCACTTCTTATCTACAGGGCTGACTTCTACTCCAGCATCTCATTAACGACTGTGCTAACACAAAAAGTCTTAATCTGCTTCAGATTGTTCCTGTCCTCCAAACAGTGGTGTGGGAGGCTCTCTTCATCGCCATCCTCCTTATTTTCCAGGACATATCTCTTTTTGGTGCATGGTTTTCCTAGAGCATTTTGTTTGAGAATGGTCACGGGGTATAAATCAGACAGAAACAAAACAAAGCAAAGTCTCTGAGTGCGGATGAATGTCACCCCTGCTGAGTGTTTTTGAATGTGATGCTGGAAGCCGATCTAGTGAAATCCTTCCTATTCTCTGATGAAAGGAAGATCTAGCTTTGACCCTGGAACAGATAATGATGAATGCTTTCTGGAAAGATACCAGACGAATTGTGGGGTTCAGTGTAAAGAAATAAGTGGCATGTTTATGTTAATAGATATTACTTATATATGAGCAAACCCAGTCTTGCTTTATTTTTTTTTAAAAAGCAGCTATTGTTCAGTTTTATAGATTTATCGAAGTATAATTTACATGCCATGAAATTCACCCTCTGTAAGGTACAGTTTAATGATTTATAGTAAATATATTTTTACAAGCATCTCAAAATTATTTTAAAACATTCCCATTGCCCTCAAGAGATCCTTTCTGCCCTTTAGCAGTTATTTCCTAAGGTGCCCCTATCTATTCTTTGCCTCCAGAGATTTGATTTTTCTGAAAAACGTTATAAAAACAGAGTATTACAATATACAGTCTTTGTTTCTGACTTCTTTAAGTTTGCCTAACATTTGAGGTGTTCATTCATGTTGTAGTATATTTAAGTTAACTTGCTACATTTTTTGCAGCAGAAAATCATCCCATTGTGTGGATATAGCATATTTTATGTATCCATTCACCTATTTTTGGACATTTGGATTGCTCCAGTTGTTAACCTATTATAAATAATGCCACTACAAATGTTCTTATTTAAATATTTGGGAAGTTATAAACTTTTATTTTATTTGGTAGGTATCTAGAAGTAAAATTACTGAGTCATGGGGAGAGGGTATAATAAATTAAAAACAAAAACAAGTAAAAGTGCAAAATATTTTTAGAACTGGCTATTTCATTTTACATTTCCATCATCAAAGTGTGAGGTTCCAGTTTTTTCTCATACTCTCCAACATTTGGTCTTTTTTAATAATCATCATTCTGGCAAATATGTAGTGTCATCTCACTGTGGTTTTTAAATTGTTTCCCTAATAACTAATGATATTGAGCATCTTTTTGTTTATTAGTCATTCCTATATGACCTCTGATGAAATACTTATTAAAATTCTTTACTCATTTTAATTGGACTGTTTGTCTTTTTTATTTATTGAGTTTTAAGAGTCTCTTATTAGATATATGATTTTCAAACATTTTTTATTGCTCTATCATTTGTCTTCTCATTTTCTTAATCAGTGACTTTGAAGACCTTTGTTTTATTTTGATGAGTTTCCATTTTTTAATTTATCTTTTATGAATTATGGTTTTCATGTACTTCTAAAAAATACTTAACCCAAAGTCATAAATTTTTTTCTGTCTTCTTCTAGAAGTTTCACAGTTTCAGCTCTGATATTTGGCATATGGCATGTTCTGAGTTAATTTTGAGGTATGATGTGAGATCATTATTATTAATACTGTTAGTGTTTTTGCATAGGATAACTTCTGTACTATTTGTTGAAAATAATATTATTCCATCATTAAATTGACTTTACATCTTAGTCACAAATGAATTAACCATAAGCGGATGGGTTTATTCCTGATCTATGTCTTCTTTTTCCTTAATGTATGTTTATCTTATGTTAATACCACACTCTGTTGATTATTGTAGCTTTGTTTTAAATACTGCGTTTTAAAATTGGCTAGAGTAAGTCTTTAAACTGTGTTTTACTTTTTCAAAATTGCCTTGACTATTCAAGTTCTATGTATTACCATTCGTGTTTAGGATCAGCTTGTCAGTCTCTACAAAAGGTACTACTAGAATTTTGACAAGCATTGCAGTGTACTTATTGATAAATTTGAAGATAATTTCTATCTTAACAATACAGAGCCCTTCATGATCATGGAATGCTTTTTCCTTTCTTTTAGATATTTTTAAATTTATCTCAACATTTTATATTTTTCCATGTATAGGTCTTATATTTCTGTTGTTTATATTGCAAAGTGCTATTTTTATAATGTAACTATAAAAATATTTTTATTTCTAAGGCCTTGAGGATTCGCCACACTGTCTTCAACAATGGTTGAACTAATTTACACTCCCACCAACAGTGTAAAAGTGTTCCTTTTCTCCACATCCTCTCCAGCATCTGTTGTCTCCAGATTTTTTAATGATCGCCATTCTAACTGGCGTGAGATGGTATCTCAATGTGGTTTTGATTTGCATCTCTCTGATGACCAGTGACGATGAGCATTTTTTCATATGACTGTTGGCCTCATATATGTCTTCTTTCGTAAAGTATCTGTTCATATCCTTTGCCCACTTTTGAATGGGCTTGTTTGTTTTTTTCCTGTAAATCTGTTTGAGTTCTTTGTAAATTCTGGATATCAGCCCTTTGTCAGATGGGTAGATATACACCATGGAATATTATGCAGCAATCAGAAATGATGAGTTCGTGTCGTTTGTAGGGACATGGATGAATCTGGAGAACATCATCCTCAGCAAACTGACACAAGAACAGAAAATGAAACACCACATATTCTCACTCATAGGTGGGTGATGAAAAATGAGAACACATGGACACAGAAAGGGGAGTACTAAACACTGGGGTCTATTGGGGGGAAAAGGGGAGGGCCAGTGGGAGGGGGAGGTGGGGAGGGATAGCCTGGGGAGAA